CTTGAAAAAGAGCAGTTTCTGTCAGAGCTCTCTCAGCCCCGCCTACCTCACAGGGTGTCTCTGAGACTCCGAGTGAAGGGCGGGGTATAAATCCAATCTCTTCTTCTTCTTCTTCTCTCTCTCTGCAGTCCCCAGTGTTTAAAAAAGTACTGGGAAAGAATATATTAGATAAGAAGAAGAAGAGATTGGATTGATGCCCCGCCCTTCACTACCCAGAGGAGTCTCAGAGCGGCTGACAAACTCCTTTCCCTTCCCCTCCCCGCAACAGACACCCTGTGAGGTAGGTGGGGCTGAGAGAGCTCTGACAGAAACTGCTCTTTTTCAAGGACAGCTCTTATCAGAACTACGGCTTGCCCAAGGTCATCCAGCAGCTGCAAGTGGAGGAGAGGGGAATCAAACCCAGTTCTCCCAGATTAGAGTCCGCGCACTTAACCACTACACCAAACTGGCTCTCCTACACCAAACTGGGGCAGTCTTCGGGTTGCCGTCCTCCTGGTGAGGCCTGGAGATTTCCCGTAATTACCACTGATCTCCAGACGACAGAGATCACTTCCGCAGGAGGAAATGGCTGCTGTGGGGGGGGGGATGGGACGCTATGGGGTCCCACCCCTCCAAGGCCCCTCCCCTCCCCAAATTCTACCCTTTCCAGGCTCCCTCCCCCAAATCTTCAGGAATTTATCCACCTGGAGTTGGCAAGCCTAGGTAAACTGCATTTGTCTGATATTCTCAGATTTGGCAGTTGTGAAAAAGCACAGGATTATGGCCTGTTGAAAAGTTGGCAATGTTACGAGCTCTCACCAGTACTGGGGGCCCAGTGTTCCCTCTAAGCTGAGTCAGTGTGAGCAAGCTCACAGGTTTTTTTTAGCCTCTGGCTCGCACACATTTTTGTCTCAGGTCAGGAAGGATTGGCTCCAGAGCAAACTCATTGACGCAGCAGCCAAATCGCTCGCTCACAACTTTCATGCCAGTAGCGCACAAAGTAGAATCCTTGCTCACAAGACTCCACAGCTTACAGGGAGCCTTGGTCAGGGGCTTAAAGGTATCGATTTTTACCAGGCAAAAAACCTTACGATCATCTTGAACTTTTATACCACAATATCCTTTGGCTCCCCCTGAAAGGTCAGTTTGGGAAAATAAAATAAATCCAAGTTCTCCAGTAAGAGAGTGAATGCCCAGGGGGCCTTGCCCAGCCATGTGCCACATTTTGTTTTACAGCTTCTCAGAAAGTCGCCAACAGGACGGCAAGCTCCAGTCAGGCCACCTTCCACCAGCTGTATGATTACCTGCTGACCAGCTACAAGAAAGGGGTCCGGCCCGTGAAGGACTGGAGGAGGACCACCAACGTGGCCATCGATATCATGGTCTACGCCATCCTCAGTGTGGTATGTTCCTGGGCCCTGCCCCGAGCCTCGTGGGCCCAACCCTCTCACTGCTCTGTTTAAGTGGGAGTGAGACCACAGACCCAATCCGTCAAGACTGGTAGAAAGCTCTCAGTCAACAGAGAAACTGCAGCTCTTCTGGATTCCCTTGTTTGAAGGCATTAAAGAAATTTGTTGAAAATGTTTAGTGAGCATCATGACAGGATTAGAATTTGTTTTCCGACGGAAGCTGTGTTGGTCTGCAGTACAAGAGCTGGATTTGAGTCCAGTAGCCCCTAAGAGACCAACAACTGGCCCCTGGTATTTTTGGCCACTGTGTGGCAGAGTGTTGGACTGGATGGGCCATTGGCCTGATCCAGCATTGGCTTCTCTTATGTTCTTATGTTTATGTTCTTAAAGATTTCTGGGGTATAAGCTTTCAAAAGTCATGAGAACATAAGAGAAGACACGCTGGATCAGGCCAATGGCCCATCCAGTCCAACACTTTGTGTCACAGAGTGACCAAAACCTAGGTGCCACCAGGAGGTCCACCAGCAGGGCCAGAACTCCAGAAGCCCTCCCACTGTTGCCTCCCCGGCACCAAGAAGACAGAACATCACTGCCCCAGACATAAGAACATAAGAGAAGTCACGCTGGATCAGGCCAATGGCCCATCCAGTCCAACACTTTGTGTCACACAGTGGCCAAAACCCAGGTGCCACCAGGAGGTCCACCAGCAGGGCCAGAACTCCAGATTTCTGACTAAGGGATCTTGGACTCCTGAAAACTGATACCCCTAACATCTTGTTGGTCTCTAAGGTATTACTGGACTTCAGTCTAGCTGGTTTACTGTCAAATCTCCCTCCCCCTGATTTTTGACTGAAGTCTGCTGCCCGCCCCCAAGTCCTCACTGACTTTTTTTCCATTTAAGGTGCCATAATTTGGAACACACATTATCTTTTTTCCTTTGGTGTTCACCTATGATTTTTAGGTGTATACTTAAAACTGAATGCATGAATGTAACACAGAGGTCTTTGGAAACCTGTACCTTCTACAGGTGCGCTCTCTGGAAAGCTGGGCTTGGCCGCTGCTTCCCCTTTGAGTAAACCCAACAGGAAACTTGAGGCTGTTGCTGTGTCATTTTGGCCATATGCCTCCTCATGGGGAGTCAGCCCCGTGTCCATCTGGCCCGGTGTTCCCCATGCTTGCTGCTGGCAACTCTCCAAGGCATTGGGCAGAGAAAGAGCTTTCCTGGTCTTGCTGCTCCAGGAGGTGCCCAGGATGGAGGCATGGCCTTGGGCGCACAGACCCGGTCACAGACATGAAGCTGCCTTCTACCGAATCAGGCCACTGAGCCGTCAACGTCAGTCTTGTCTACTCAGATGGGCAGCAGCTCTCCTGGGTCTCAGGCAGAAGCCTTTCACGTCACCTATTGCCTGGTCCTTGACTGCAGATGCTGGGGATTGAACCTGGGACCTTCTGCATAGCAAGCAGATGCTCTTCCACTGAGCCATGACCCCTTCCTAAATGACATTGCCGCATCCTGAATAAGGCTGTGATCACACACACGAAATAATCCACTTTCAAGGCGCTGTCCAACTGGAATTCACCTTGTGAGCTGGTAAAATCCAGTTGGGAAGTGCACGGAAAGTGGATTCTTTAGTGTGTGTGACTGCAACCTCATTGGCCCATCAAAACTGGTACTGTCTACTCAAACTGGCAGCGGCTCTCCAGGATCCCAGGCAGAGATCTTTCATGTCACCTGCTGCCTGGTTGTTTCAACTGGAGATGCCGGGGTTTGAACCGGTGCTTTCTGCATGCCAAGCAGATGCTCTACCACTGAGCCACGGCCCCCTCCCCTGCTTCCAACCAGGTGGGCAAGCAGGGTAGGCGGCCTTCTGCATCACTAACCTCTTCTCTGTTTTGAATAGGATGAAAAGAACCAAGTTCTGACAACGTACATCTGGTACAGACAGGTAAGGTGGTGTGGTTGCCAGCCAGCGGAGCAGTTGGTCCTCCCTTGCACCAGGGCTGAAGGCAGCATAGTCACATCCCCAGGCTTAGGCTCCAAGCTCTTATGTAAAGGTAAAGGTTCCCTTGTTCGAAAGCCAGTCGAGTCCGACTCTAGGGTTGTGGTGCTCATCTCCGTTTCAAAGCCGAAGAGCCAGCGCTGTCCGAAGACGTTTCCGTGGTCATGTGGCTGGCATGACCAAACACCAAGGTGCACGGAACGCTGTTCCCTTCCCGCCAAAGTGGTACCTATTTATCTACTTGCAATTTCTTGCTTTCGAACTGCTAGGTTGGCAGGAGCTGGAACTAGAGACTGGAGCTCACTCCGTCATGCGGCAACTCGGGTCTCGAACTGCTGAACTACCGACCTTCCACAGCCTGCAGTTCAGCATCTTAATCACTTGAGCCACCGCAGGTCCCAAGCTCTTATGGGTCTTCCCTTAATATTCTGTGCACAGCGTTTGGTGATACCTCTAGTTGGTCCTGGTATCTAGAAAAATGTCTGGGCTCTATATGTTTGCAGGGCTGCAGTCACTGTAATGCTTAGTACACTGTCTCTACTCGGTCCCACTATCTAGAACAGGGGTATCAAACTCATTTGTTATGAGGGCTGGATCTGACATAAATGAGACCTTGTTGGGCCAGGCCTTGTGTGCCATAAAATGTAATGCCAGGTAGCGGAGATATAAACTTTATCAAGGACACAAACACAAAGGGTTTTTCCACTTAAAATAAAAACATGCTTAAAACATTAGCACTCTCTGCAATATTTTCTTTATTTAACAGTGTCTAATAACTGACACCTCTTGCTCTGAATGATTGCATCAAAATGTCTGTGCTGTTGCAATCTTGAGTATGCTGTTCAGCTGTGTATCTGTAAGCTGCAAACCTACGATGATGCAACAGCGGCAGAACTGGAAGCAGCAGCAGAAGACAGCCAGTTCCACTGCGGGCCTGATAGAAGCCCTCCGGGGGCCTCATCCGGCCCCCAGGCTGCATGTTTGACACCCCGATCTAGAACAATGTCTGGGCCCTATATGTTTGCAGGGCTGCAGTCACTGTAATGCTTAGTGCACTGCAAGGCAAGGATTCAATAACCCAGTGGTTTGCAATGTGAGATGTGTGACCATCTACTGCCCAGGTTTGAGAGCCCCCCCACCCCACCGCGTGTCTTCGAGCCTGCCCATAGGCCAAACCCTCTCCCCCCCCGCGCAGTGTTGGACCGATGAGTTTCTGACGTGGAACCCGGAGGACTTCGACAACCTCACCCAGATGTCCATCCGCACCGAAGCCATTTGGGTTCCTGATATCCTGATCAACGAATTGTAAGTGGAGCAAAGCTTCAAGAGCTTTGCTGGGAGGGTTTTTTGGGGAGGGCTGTGGGCCTCACCCCATCCCGCATTGCCTCCGTCTCTTTCCACTTGGTATTCTTGGCCACGCTCCCCGGCTGGCTCCAAACTGGCACCGTCCTCCGTGTGCCGTCTATCGCAGATGGGGAGAAGGCTGAGCAATTGGGCCGGTTCCAGTCGTAGCAAACGATAAACACTCATAATTACCCTTGCTGGTTTGGGCGTGGGATTCAAATATTCCGAGGAATTCTTTGTCGAAGAGAGAGGAACAATGCAGGGGCAGCTGCAGAACCGTCAACCCGTACTTGGGAGAGAGAGGGAAGGGAACGGGGTGGGGGGGAAGAGAGGCATTGTTGTTACAACCGCCCTTCTGTTGCTACCATGAGGAGAAAGTCCTTGTTGGGGAGGGGGGGGACTCTTTCCAGATCCCTTTTCTGAAGCCACTCGACCTCACGGTGGGCCCTCTGGGTCGTATGGGAAGAGAGCGGCCACTTCAGAAGGAAGGAAGGAAAAAATATCAGAGCGATGCGGTTCAAGGAGTGAGAAATGAATCATAGAATCATAGAATGTTAGAGTTGGAAGGGACCTTGCAGGTCATCTAGTCCAACCCCCTGCCCTCTGCAGGAGCACAGCTGAAAGAGAGCCCTACAACATACCTGAAACATAGCCTCCACTTGAAAATGTCCACCAAAGGAGCATCCACCCCCTCCCGAGGCAGACTGTTCCACTGCTCAACCACTCTGACAGTTAGGAAGTTTCTCCTGATATTTAGCCGGTATTGAGGCCCTTGTGATTTCCACCCATTAGATCTAGTCTTGCAATCTGGAGCAAGAGAGAATAGATCTGCTCCATCTTCTACATGACAGCCCTTCAAATGTTTGAAGACTGCAATCATGTCTCCTTGAAGCCTTCTCTTTCCCAGCCTAAACAGACCCAACTCTTTCAGCCTTTCCTCGTAAGACTTGGATTCCAACCCTCTCACGGTCCTGGTTGCCCTCTTCTGGTGGAGAACAAAAGCCGATTTAGGGACTGTCCCCACCGTTATGATGGACCAGAGTGATGTGAGAATGTCTGTCCTGTCCCAGAAGCACCCTTTCTTGCGTTCAGCAAATAATACACGAAGGTCTGTGTGAAGTTACAGAAATGGGGAACTTAAGAACATAAGAGAAGCCAAAGTTGGATCAGGCCAGTGGCCCATCCAGTCCAACACTCTGTGTCACACAGTGTCCAAAAATACCAGGTTCCATCAGGAGGTCCATTAGTGGGGCCCAGACACTAGAAGCACTCCCACTGTTGCCCCCCAGGCACCAAGAAGACAGAGCATCCCTTGTCCCAGACATAAGAACATAAGAGAAGCCAATGTTGGATCAGGCCAATGGCCCATCCAGTCCAACACTCTGTCACTCAGTGGCCAAAAATACCAGGGGCCATCAGGAGGTCCTGCAGTGGGGCCAGGACCCTAGAAGCCCTCCCACTGTTGTCCCCCCCCCCAGCACCAAGAATACAGAGCATCACTTGCCCCAGAATTCCTATCTAGACCTTGTGGCTAATAGCCACTGATGGACTTCTGCTCCATATGCTTATCTATTTCCCTCTTGAAGCCGTCCATGCTTGTAGCCACCGCCACCTCCTGTGTCAGTGAATTCCTTGTGTTAATCACTCTTTGGGTGAAGAAGGACTTCCTTTTATCCTTTCTAACTTCTGTGCCTGGGATCTCAAAGTCGAGCACATAGAGAATTATCGTACAGTTAAACTGTCTATAGGGAAATTCGATATGTTAGAGGAGCTACCTTGACAATGCATTATAAGCCATGGTCATTGGCTTGGGCCCCACAGATGGTTTTTGAGGGTCCGAAGGGATGAGTGTGATTTTTACTTCTTCCTGCCTCTAACTGCAGATCAGCTCTCCCCCATGCGGTGCCTGGGGGCAGGGGGGGGGTCCCCTCCCATGGCACTGATGTTGCCAACCTCCAGATGGTGGCTGGAGATCTCCTGGGATTGCAACTGATCTCCAGGCGACCGAGATCAGTTCCCCCTGGAGGAAACAGCCGCTTTGGAAGGCGGAAGGACTCTATGGCACTGTATCCCCACTGAAGTCCCTCCTTTCCCCAGACCTCCAGGGGTTTCCCAACCTGGATCTGGCAACCCTACACTGCACAGACAACACCACTCTGTTCTCTAAGAAGACCTTCTGTGTTTTTGTGGGGGGGTTTCCATTTACAGTCCCCCTCCCCGTCTGCTTATACAGCAAAGAACGGAGGTCTTCAAGGAAAAAAAGCACTGAGTGCTGAAGCTCTCCCTAGCAGACTGAGCTGGTGTCTGTCCAACCAGCCTACAGGAGGGAAGCTTCCTTCATACACAACTCCCTTTCAGTTGAGAGGTGGTTCGATAACCATGGCAACCAATCAGGGACCGCAGCAGCCATTGGGCCGGAGGTCTGTCCATTTGGCAAAGACGGCAAAGGCAATTGTCCAATGGAATTATGGCTCCCCCTCCCCTCCCAAGTGTGCCCCTGGGGCCATTTTGAAATGCGATTAATATTTCCCTGAAAAATCATAGTTTAGAAAAGAGGTTTTTGCCATAGAAATGTCAAGAATTAAAAAGCAAAATGTGGAGGGACGATGTTGAGGATCATAAGTAGTTGTGCTACAACTAGGGATGGGCACAAACTGGGAAAATACAGTTTTGGTTTTGTCCGTGGCTCATGGCTTGCCCGGTTCATGAACCACAAACTCTCACGAACTTTTAGGGGCTAAAAGAACCAGTTCCATGAGGTTTGTGACTCTATAGAATGGACCCTGAGCAAGCTAGAGACACCAAACTCACAGAGGATCTCCAACCGACTCTCCTCTACCTGCCCTACAAATTTGGTGAGGATTGGATTTACGGTGTATGAGTTGCAGCCCCCCCCTAGGAAGGTGCCCCCAGGAAAGTGCTTTCTGGGGAAATGACCGACTGTTCATGCCCATTCCTAGTTTCAACAGGATGCTGGAATTTCTATTCCAAGGTGCTGAGAAGCTTTTGCAAACTTTCAAAAGGTTCTCACATTTTGAGATTTGGAATTCAGAACTGCCATGTTCCATCACCGGCATCCCTGGGTGTCACTGAAATGACCAAAATCCTGCAGCAGAGTAACTTTCTCTGTCCTTTGCGTGGCAGCGTGGATGTGGGCAAGTCCCCCGACATCCCCTACGTCTACATTCTCCACACGGGAGAGGTGCAGAACCTCAAGCCAGTCCAGGTGGTGACTGCCTGTAGCCTGGACATCTACAACTTCCCCTTCGACGTGCAGAACTGCTCTCTGACCTTCACCAGCTGGCTGCATAACAGTAGGTGGTGGATTGTGTTGGTTTCACCTGGGGAGGTTCTTGCATGTTGCCCATCATGGAGAGAAGGAGTGAGCTCAGGTACCCGGGGTCATCATACCCTGGTCATATTGTAAGGATTCTTCTTTCCAGAAGTAAAATCATCTTGGTTACTCAGAGACGAAGACAAACAAACTACCCTGCATGTGGCAGAATTCCTAGCAGCTGTTGTCAAATGATATGACAGCTTTTGCTGTAAAGGTAAAGGTTTCCCTTGCTCGAAAGCCAGTCGAGTCCGACTCTAGGGTTGCGGTGCTCATCTCCGTTTCAAAGCCAAAGAGCCAGCGCTGTCCGAAGATGTTTCCGTGGTCATGTGGCCGGCAAGACTAAACACCGAGGCGCATGGAACGCTGTTACCTTCCCACCAAAGTGGTCCCTATTTATCTACTTGCAATTTCTTGCTTTTGAACTGCTAGGTTGGCAGGAGCTGGGGACGGAGACGGGAGCTCACTCTGTCATGCAGCACTCGGGCCTTGAACTGCCGAGGTACCGACCTTCTGGTCTGCAGCTTAGCGTCTTAACCCCTGAGCCTTTACATTCTTCCATGTTTTCCTGTGGAACAAGGTTTACTGTGGGATGAGGGTTTGCTGCTTGTGACTTCAGTTGCACAAACAGTAAAGACAAGAAAATAGATTCCCTTTATTGCTTCAGAACTCCCTTCCTGCTCATGGGAGAGGTCGGTCAATGGCTACTTGCTTTGAAAACTCAGTGCAAGCTCTATCTTCAGCGGCTGTCTATCCTTGGATAAAAGGTGCTGCGGACAATCTCCATCTCATTCCGATTGTAAGGGGCAGCTGGGGCCACTGTTGCCGACAGGGATAGCTTGGCACAGTCCTGCATAGATAGTTTTTGTGGTCCTTGTTACTCTTGCAGTGTTATTGGCTTTCATGTTCCCAAGTCCGTAGAAGTCACCCAAAGAGAAAGGGAGCTGTCAAGTCCAATGCTCCCTCTAAGCTGTGGAGTCTCGTGAGCAAAAATCTTACTTTGTGAGCTCCTGGCATTAAAGTTGTGAGCGAGCAATTTGGCTGCTGCATACATTAGCTTGCTCTGGAGCCCTCCTTCCTGGGATTAGACAAGAATGTGTGAGCTGGAGGCTAACAAACTGTGAGCTAGCTCACACTGACTCAGCTTACAGGGAACATTGGTCAAGTCACAACCAACTTACGGTGTCTTCCTCACGGGGGTTTCCGAGGCAAGAGACTTACGGAGGCGGTTTGCCATTGCCTACCTCTGAACAGCCACCCCCGTCTGCTTTGGTGGTCTTCCCATCCAAGGGCTAACCATGGCCGACCTTGCTTAGCTTCCAAGCTCTAGCAAGATCAGGCTAGACCGGACTATCTAAACTGCTGGGAACCGCCAGGCTTAAGAAAAATCTCTGGCTGGATTTCTGCCCAGCCCCCTGATGGTGTTCAGTTAGGACCAGCTGTGACCCAAAGGCGCCAGTCAACCACTCTCAAGGAACGAGCTGTGGCACGAAGAGGGGAGGGGTTTCCAGGAGGAGGCGGGTGACGTCTTTTGCTTCTCTTCTTCCTCTCCTCCGCCCCGCAGTCCGAGACATCAACATCTCTTTGTGGCGCTCCCAAGAGGCCGTGAAAACCGACAAGAGCGTCTTCATGAACCAGGGCGAATGGGAACTTCTGCACGTGCTCAGCCATTTCCGAGAGTTCCGAGTGGAGGACGCCTCCAGTGAGAGTTATGCAGAGATGAAGTTCTTTGTAAGGAACTGTGGAGGGCCTGGTCTCAGGGGGAGGAGTGCGGGGGGGGGGGGAATTGGGACCAAAATTTCAAGGAGAGGCCC